AAAGATGTAAATAATTATACAGACTTGTTTAACTTAGATTTCGTGACAAAAGACAGGCTTTAATTTGTTACCACAAATCACCCCTCCTCCTGCCGAGTCATCACAAATGAAATAGGAAATGTCGGGTTTGCTTCGGGCTCGGGCCTGCAAATCAAGATAATTGGTCGGGCTCGGGCCGGGTTGGGCTTAAATACCAGCAGGCCGGGTCGGGCTGGATTTTTTTGGCCCAATCTTACCTCTACATCAAATTCATGGTATCATTTTAATCACTGTCTGTCATGACATTTGTTTTCCACATGATGGCGCAGTAGCACAAATAAAGCCTCATGATGCTTCGGCCCAGGAACGAACCAATTGGATGTAAAGCCTCATTGCTTCATGAGGCTTCATTTTCCCATCACTAGTGTTCTCCACGGCAAGAAACGCAACAGAGAGAAACACAAGCCCAAACACACACACACACACACACACACTGCGTACAAGAAAGACAACATATGAAGGCTGTTAAAAAGAGGACGAAACAAGTGAGACGAACAGTGAGACCCACCTATTCTGTGAAGAACAATTCTTGGCTGCATCCTGTCGATGGCGTCCAGCAGTTGACGTTGTCCCTTGTGTTCCTCTTTCTCTACACAAAGTTCCTCCTCGTATTCTGCTGTCCTTCTTGCACACATTTTCACACGAAAATTGAAAACAACACTTTACGCTTTCGAGCTCTGCTCAACGACGTGTTGTTGATCACAGCGCCTCTATGTTAGCGGTTAGCAGGTTAAGCTAAACTAAAATAGGCCGAGCAACATCAAAGTAGACCGAGACACAAAGGTTCAACGAAAGATGTCTTAGCCCAGCGAAATGATGGTGAACGCCCCGGGTTGAGGTTTGAGCACGTTGACTACAAATTCAAGAGAATTTGGTGTGGGGTGTCTGTCGCTCCTCGCGCCCCAGTGCGGTCAGGCCAGGCACCATCGCGATTGTTGATACTCTGCATTACGGTAATCTATCGCCAATTCGTGGCAGTGGCCACCTTCAAAATAAAAGCTCTCCAACTCATGCATGCACGTCAGTAGCTTGGATTTAAAATAATGTTATAAAATCATTTCTTCGCGGTCAAGCAACGATGAGTTCACCCAGGGAGAATGAAATGGTCTCAGAATAGCACCAAGAAGCGTTCCAAAGTTGATATATCTCGAAATATGTTTTTACGGGTTTTTTATTTTCTTAATCTTGCAACTTTTTACTGCTTTTTGGGTATCATGGGACAGAAAATAATGATCATGTACTGTATTTACAACGTTTGCTCTTCAGCTTTGTTTGGACCTGGTGGATGTCTCTTCTTGGCTCTGAAATGCGAGAGCCTCCTTTGGCCTAGTACGGCAATCGCCAATTGCTGTCCTGTGCTGGTCAGAGTTGGTCATTGCAACCTTCTGAAAGAATATTTTTTACGACCCTCTAAAAATCAACAATAACATATCGAGACCACCGTGTGAACACAAGCTGCACTAGAAACCAAAACCAAATAACGGTGGAAGCAAAAAAAATCCCAAAAAACAGTTCTTGGGAAGATAAGTGAACCCCAAAATCAAGTACATATATATTTTTTTGTCTTTAAAAAGCACATTTAAATGTGAAACGTTTGCAGTCAGCAACGCAGTCCTACTTCACCTCAAATACTGTAAGAAAACGATCGAGTATCTGGACTTTACAAACTGAGGAGGTACAGTAATGGATTTGTAAACCGAGTGTATGGTTTTCAAAACCAGCCTTTATCTCTTGTCTAAAAATTCACCTCACGTGGACTTTTTCGTTTTATGTTGTGACATTTGACGGGGTTTGATTTCGCTTCTGGAACACGAAGAAAACAATGTATTTTTTGAAAGTAGAAAACAAGTCGTTATCTAGCCTTTCTTTTAATATCGAAACACCAACATTGAAATACAGCGTGATATTCTATAGTATTGTCTGAAACGGAGAAGGAAAAGTCTAAAAACAGGTTGATAAATTTTTTACGAAAATTGAATTTGGCACAAGACAAATGGAAATAGGGGTTTCTTTTGAGATTCCCGGAAGTTGTGACCGACAGCATTTCTCCCACTGCCCAGAAGAGGGCGACAACGTAAGCCCTAAAGACGATATCGTGACCTGGCATGCTCCATTTCTATCTTAAATTCCACAAACGAGTTACATGTGGAGAAAATTATTGGTACCCTCTCTTACAGAAATAAAGAATAATGAAACAAACAAACAAAAACAAGAAAAGTATTCAAAAAAATAAATGAAAATCAGAAATTGCTGTTGAATTCTGGTTTGCATCATAATCTTACCTCCAACATTACTACTACTTATAATCACAAATAGTGGCAGCATTCCCGCTTGGGTGACAAAATAAACTTGGGTCACAAATGCTCTCCACCAAAATAAACAAAAATCCATCACTCCTTGTTTTTTTGCTCACAATATGTGATCACTGATTTACGAATACAACGGCCTATGTATGTGTGACATCAGTGATGTCTTCACAGAAATAAAATCACAGTAGCTGACCAAGATTGTGGTGACAGCAGTTTATTCCCTGGATGCTGTCAGCAAAATGGGAATAAGTGTCATCTACGTGAGCAAATGGCATTCTTTCGATTGAAAGATGGTACAGCGTAAACATGAACCACTTCCACAAGGAACTTTAAAAAAATGTGAACAAAACATGTGAAACATTCATTCGAATAATTAAGAGCAGCAAATTAACTCAACATGCACGAAATAACTAGTTGAGGCTTGCGACATCCATCCATCCATTTTCCAATCCACTTATCCTCACAAAGGTCACGGGAGATGCTGGAGCCTATCCCAGCCGTCTTCGGGCAGTAGGCGGGGTACACCCTGAACTGGGTTCCAAAACCACGTGTGGCAGGTTAATGGAACACTCTAAATTGTCTCCAGGTGTGAGTGTGATCGTGGATGATTGTTTGTTGATGTGTGCCCTGCGATTGGCTGGCAACCAGTTCAGGGTGTCCCCCGCCTACGGCCCAAAGACGACTGGGATAGGCTCCAGCATGCCTGTGAGATTCATGTAGATCAGGGGTGCCCAAACTTTTTGGACCGAAGATCTACTTTTCGTTCAACCAACCTCCCCGGATCGCCCCTTAACGCACACACACACGCACACACACACGCACACGCGCACACACACACACACGCGCGCGCATGCACGCACGGCATGATGAGAAGCCAAACACGGAACCAAGCGATGCACTTTTGCAGCCTGTTGACTATCGTAGCTCACACGTACCGTTTTAAAGTGCTTCCCT